ACCGAGATTACATCCATGCAAGTTGGATCGTCCTGAGCTAAACAGCTAGCTCCACCATCAAGACCAAAACAACACCATCCATAACCTTATTTAAACCTAAACACCAAACTAAACCATTCTCCTGCCTTAGTACGGGCGACAGAAAAGGCACTTACAGAAGCAATAGAAAAAGTACCGCAAGGGAAAGCTGAAAGAGAGATGAAACAGCCCATTCAAGCCTAAAAAAGCAGAGATTAACCCTCGTACCTTTTGCATCATGATTTAGCTAGTATACCTGAGCAAAGAGAACTTTAGTTCAAAACCCCGAAACCAAGTGAGCTACCTCGAGACAGCCTACATAAGGGCCAACCCGTCTCTGTGGCAAAAGAGTGGGAAGATCTCCAGGTAGCGGTGACAAACCTACCGAACTTGGTGATAGCTGGTTGCCTAGGAAATGGATAGAAGTTCAGCCTCGTCCTCCTCAGTTCACGCAAGTACCACTATACATGAAATCGAGAAACACACGAGAGTTAGTCAAAGGGGGTACAGCCCCTTTGAACCAGGACACAACCTTACCTAAGGAGGTTAAGGATCACACTCAACAAGACTACTGCTCCAGTGGGCCTAAAAGCAGCCACCTGTGTAGAAAGCGTTAAAGCTCAGGCAGAACAACAAGTCTATTATCCTGATACCTTATCCCAAACCCCTCTAAATACTAGGCCATCCCATGCCAACATGGGAGAGATCCTGCTAAAATGAGTAATAAGAAGGAACCCCCTTCTCCCGGCCCACGTGTAAGCTAGATCGGACCAACCACTAACAATTAACGAACCCAACATAAGAGGGCAACGTGGCCAAAAATAAACACCAAGAAAACACCACAGCACACCAATCGTTAACCCCACACTGGAAGGCCACAAGGGAAAGACTAAAAGAAAAAGAAGGAACTCGGCAAACACAAGCCTCGCCTGTTTACCAAAAACATCGCCTCCTGCAAAAATCAACGTATAGGAGGTCCTGCCTGCCCAGTGACAACTAGTTAAACGGCCGCGGTATTTTGACCGTGCTAAGGTAGCGCAATCACTTGTCTTTTAAATGAGGACCTGTATGAATGGCGGAACGAGGGCTTAACTGTCTCCTTTTTCTAGTCAATGAAATTGATCTACCCGTGCAGAAGCGGGTATACTAATACAAGACGAGAAGACCCTTTGGAGCTTAAGATAAAAGGCCAACTATGTCAAAGGCCCAAGTAAAACTAAACCTAACAAAACAGTTAACTGGCCAATATCTTCGGTTGGGGCGACCGCGGGGGAAAACAAAGCCCCCACGTGGAATGGGGAATACTCCCTAAAACCAAGAGAGACATCTCTAAGTCACAGAACATCTGACCAATAGATCCGGCCAATCAAGCCGATCAACGGACCAAGTTACCCTAGGGATAACAGCGCAATCCCCTCCAAGAGTTCATATCGACAAGGGGGTTTACGACCTCGATGTTGGATCAGGACATCCTAATGGTGCAGCCGCTATTAAGGGTTCGTTTGTTCAACGATTAAAGTCCTACGTGATCTGAGTTCAGACCGGAGCAATCCAGGTCAGTTTCTATCTGTAAAGCTACTTTTCCTAGTACGAAAGGACCGGAAAAATGAGGCCCATGCTCAAAGCACGCCTCCCTCTAACTTGATGAAGCCAACTAAATCAAACAAAGGAAGAGCAACCCTACACCCAAGATAAGGGACTACTAAGGTGGCAGAGCCTGGTAATTGCAAAAGGCCTAAGCCCTTTCCACCAGAGGTTCAAATCCTCTCCTTAGTTATGCTAACCCTACTAATTACCCACGTAATCAACCCACTCGCCTACATCGTACCCGTCCTACTAGCAGTAGCCTTCCTAACCCTCATCGAACGAAAAGTTCTAGGCTATATACAACTACGAAAAGGACCAAATGTAGTAGGACCCTACGGACTACTACAACCAATCGCAGACGGAATTAAACTTTTCATCAAAGAGCCCGTACGACCATCAACCTCATCCCCATTTCTATTCTTAGCCGCCCCAATCCTAGCACTAACCTTAGCACTGATACTATGAGCCCCAATACCAATCCCCTACCCCGTAACCGACCTAAACCTAGGAATCCTCTTCATCCTAGCCCTATCAAGCCTAGCTGTCTATTCAATTCTTGGCTCAGGATGGGCATCAAACTCAAAATACGCTCTCATCGGGGCCCTACGAGCCGTTGCCCAAACAATCTCCTACGAAGTAAGCTTGGGCCTAATCCTACTCTCAATTATCATCTTCACAGGAGGTTTTACTCTACAAATGTTCAACGTAGCCCAAGAAGCTACCTGACTCCTACTACCCGCCTGACCTCTAGCAGCAATATGATACGTCTCAACCCTCGCAGAAACAAACCGGGCCCCATTTGACCTCACCGAAGGAGAATCAGAACTAGTCTCCGGCTTCAACGTAGAATATGCCGGGGGACCCTTCGCCCTGTTCTTCCTAGCTGAATACGCTAACATCCTCCTAATAAACACACTATCAGTCATCCTATTCTTAGGCGCCTCACACATTCCAACCATCCCAGAACTAACATCAGTAAACCTAATGACCAAAGCTGCCCTACTATCAATTCTATTCCTCTGAGTCCGAGCCTCATATCCCCGATTCCGATACGACCAACTAATACACCTAGTATGAAAAAACTTCCTCCCTCTAACCCTAGCCCTCATCCTATGACACACCTCCCTCCCCATTGCATTCGCAGGACTACCCCCACAACTATAATACTATAAGGAGCCGTGCCTGAATGCCCAAGGGCCACTTTGATAGAGTGACCCATGGAGGTTAAAATCCTCCCAGCTCCTAGAAAGAAGGGACTCGAACCCATGCTCAAGAGATCAAAACTCCAGGTGCTTCCGCTACACCACTTTCTAGTAAGGTCAGCTAAATAAGCTTTTGGGCCCATACCCCAAAAATGTTGGTTAAACTCCTTCCCTTACTAATGAACCCATACGTACTTACCGTGTTCCTGTTCAGCCTAGGCCTAGGGACAACCCTTACCTTTGCTAGCTCACACTGACTCCTGGCATGAATAGGCCTCGAAATCAACACCCTAGCCATCCTCCCTCTCATAGCACAACACCACCACCCCCGAGCAGTTGAAGCCACCACTAAATACTTCCTAACTCAAGCAACAGCAGCCGCAACAATCTTGTTCGCCAGCACAACCAACGCCTGACTAGCCGGAGAATGAAGCATTACCCACCTCTCCCACCCAATTGCAATCACAATAGCAACAATAGGACTAGCCCTTAAAGTCGGCCTCGCACCCCTACACTTCTGACTCCCAGAAGTCCTCCAAGGCCTAGACCTGACAACAGGACTAATTATATCCACCTGACAAAAACTAGCACCATTCGCACTACTCATCCAAATAGCCCACAATATCAACCCAACCCTCCTCACAATCCTAGGAATCTCATCAACCCTCATTGGGGGCTGAGGCGGACTGAACCAAACTCAACTACGAAAAATCCTAGCTTACTCATCAATCGCCCACCTCGGCTGAATAATCATTATCCTTCAATTCGCACCACAACTTACCCTACTAACCCTAGGAACCTATATCATCATAACATCAGCAGCCTTCCTAACATTCAAAACAACAATAACAACAAAAATTAACACACTAGCACTTGCCTGAACAAAAAACCCAACACTCACAACAACCGCAGTCCTCACTTTACTATCACTGGGCGGACTACCCCCCTTAACAGGATTCATGCCAAAATGACTAATCCTACAAGAGTTGACAAAACAAGGCCTACCACTCATCGCCACCCTAGCAGCCCTAAGCGCCCTACTCAGCCTATACTTCTACCTCCGACTATGCTACACAATAACCCTAACAATCTCCCCCAGCACAAACAACTCTACAACCCCATGACGACTCCCCACCACACAAACAACCCTTCCCCTGACTATTATAACAATTGCAGCCCTACTACTACTCCCCCTCACACCAGCAGTCGTAGCACTAACACACTAGAGACTTAGGATAACATCTTAGACCAAGAGCCTTCAAAGCTCTAAGCAGGAGTGAAAATCTCCTAGTCCCTGTATAAGACTTGCAGGACTTTATCCCACATCTTCTGAATGCAACCCAGACACTTTAATTAAGCTAAAGCCTTTCTAGATGAGAAGGCCTCGATCCTACAAACTCTTAGTTAACAGCTAAGCGCTCAAGCCAGCGAGCATTCATCTACCTTTCCCCGCCCTATCAGAGCGAGGCGGGGAAAGCCCCGGCAGGGAATTATCCTACACTCTTAGACTTGCAATCTAATGTGCCTTACACCACGGGACTCTGGCAAGAAGAGGACTTAAACCTCTATATACGGAGCTACAATCCGCCGCCTAAACCTTCGGCCATCCTACCTGTGGCAATCACCCGCTGATTCTTCTCCACCAACCACAAAGACATTGGCACCCTCTACCTAGTATTTGGTGCCTGAGCCGGAATAGTTGGAACAGCCCTCAGCCTCTTAATTCGAGCAGAGCTTAGCCAACCCGGATCCCTGTTGGGCGATGACCAGATCTACAATGTTATCGTTACTGCGCACGCCTTTGTAATAATTTTTTTCATGGTAATGCCGATCATGATTGGAGGCTTCGGAAATTGACTCGTTCCCCTAATGATTGGTGCACCCGATATAGCATTTCCACGAATAAATAACATAAGCTTCTGACTTTTACCGCCGTCCTTCCTTCTTCTACTGGCATCCTCAGGAATTGAGGCCGGAGCAGGAACAGGTTGAACTGTCTACCCCCCTCTTGCCGGAAACCTTGCACACGCAGGCGCCTCTGTAGACCTAACTATTTTCTCACTCCATCTTGCTGGGGTCTCCTCTATTCTTGGGGCCATCAATTTTATTACAACCATTATTAATATGAAGCCTCCAGCTATTTCACAATACCAGACACCTCTATTCGTATGAGCGGTCCTAATTACTGCCGTCCTTCTTCTTCTCTCTTTACCTGTTCTAGCTGCTGGAATTACCATGCTGCTAACGGATCGTAACCTTAACACCACATTCTTTGATCCCGCAGGCGGAGGGGACCCAATCCTCTACCAACATCTATTCTGATTCTTTGGGCACCCCGAAGTTTACATTTTAATTTTACCCGGCTTTGGGATAATCTCCCACATCGTAGCCTACTACTCAGGGAAAAAAGAACCCTTCGGCTATATGGGAATAGTCTGAGCTATAATAGCAATTGGCCTCTTAGGCTTTATCGTGTGAGCGCACCACATGTTTACAGTAGGAATGGACGTAGATACCCGAGCATACTTCACATCTGCAACAATAATTATCGCAATCCCAACAGGAGTTAAAGTATTTAGCTGACTAGCCACCCTCCATGGAGGCTCTATCAAATGAGAAACTCCCCTACTATGAGCCCTAGGATTTATCTTCCTATTTACAGTTGGAGGACTAACAGGAATTGTTTTAGCCAACTCATCCCTCGATATCATGCTCCACGACACATACTATGTAGTTGCCCACTTCCATTATGTTCTATCTATGGGAGCTGTATTTGCAATTATAGGAGCTTTCGTCCACTGATTCCCCCTATTCTCAGGCTACACGCTCCACAGCACTTGAACAAAAGTCCACTTTGGGGTCATATTCTTAGGCGTAAACCTCACTTTCTTCCCACAACACTTCCTAGGCCTAGCCGGTATGCCGCGGCGATATTCTGACTATCCGGATGCTTACACCCTTTGAAATACAATCTCCTCCATCGGCTCCCTAATTTCTTTAATCGCAGTAATTATGTTCCTATTCATCTTATGAGAGGCCTTCGCTGCTAAACGAGAGGTCCTATCTGTTGAATTAACCTCCACAAACGCGGAATGACTCCACGGATGTCCTCCCCCATACCACACATTCGAAGAGCCCGCATTTGTTCAAGTTCAATCATGACGAGAAAGGAAGGAATCGAACCCCCGTGAACTAGTTTCAAGCCAGTTGCATAACCACTCTGCCACTTTCTTTCTATAAGATACTAGTAAAACTAGACATTACATTGCCTTGTCAAGGCAAAATTGCAGGTTAAACCCCTGCGTATCTTAAGCCACACGGCTTAATGGCACATCCCTCACAATTAGGATTCCAAGACGCGGCCTCACCTGTAATAGAAGAACTTCTTCATTTTCACGACCATGCATTAATGATCGTTTTCCTAATTAGCACCCTAGTCTTATACATCATTGTTGCAATGGTTTCCACTAAATTAACCAACAAATATATCTTAGACTCCCAAGAAATTGAAATTGTCTGAACTATTTTACCAGCAGTAATCCTTATCCTCATTGCTCTTCCTTCTCTCCGAATCCTCTACTTAATAGACGAGATTAATGACCCCCATCTAACCGTAAAAGCTATAGGACATCAATGATACTGAAGCTACGAGTATACAGACTATGAAGACCTTGGCTTCGACTCTTACATGATCCCAACCCAAGACCTAACTCCTGGACAATTCCGACTACTTGAAACAGACCATCGCATAGTAGTCCCAATAGAATCACCAATCCGAGTCCTAGTCTCAGCTGAAGATGTCCTCCACTCCTGAGCCGTCCCAGCCCTAGGTGTAAAAATAGATGCCGTCCCTGGACGTCTAAACCAAACAGCCTTTATCGCCTCCCGCCCTGGAGTATTTTACGGACAGTGCTCTGAAATCTGCGGTGCCAATCACAGTTTCATGCCAATTGTAGTAGAAGCCGTCCCACTAGAACACTTCGAAAACTGATCCTCCCTCATGCTTGAAGACGCCTCACTAAGAAGCTAAACAGGGCCTAGCGTTAGCCTTTTAAGCTAAAGATTGGTGACTCCCGACCACCCCTAGTGACATGCCCCAATTAAACCCCGCCCCATGATTCGCCATCCTGGTATTCTCCTGACTAATCTTTCTAACGGTCATTCCACCTAAAGTCCTTAAACACACCTTCACTAATGAACCAACGACACTCAGCACTGAGAAACCCAAAACCGAACCCTGAAACTGACCATGACACTAAGCTTCTTCGACCAATTTATGAGCCCCACATACTTAGGCATTCCTTTAATTGCTATCGCACTTGTATTTCCATGAATCCTTTACCCCTCACCATCAAATCGGTGACTAAACAACCGACTCATCACCCTCCAAAGCTGACTTATTAACCGTTTTACACAACAACTACTCCTCCCCCTCAACCCAGGCGGACATAAATGAGCCCTAATCTTAACCTCATTAATAATCTTCCTCTTATCCATAAACCTATTAGGACTCCTCCCATATACTTTTACCCCAACGACGCAACTTTCACTAAACATAGGATTAGCAGTTCCATTCTGACTAGCTACCGTAATTATTGGAATACGAAACCAACCCACCGCAGCCCTAGGACACCTCCTACCAGAAGGAACCCCCGTACCACTAATCCCCGTATTAATCATTATCGAAACAATCAGCCTATTTATTCGACCCCTAGCCTTAGGCGTACGACTAACAGCCAACCTCACAGCCGGCCACTTACTCATTCAACTCATCGCAACTGCAGCCTTCGTCCTGCTACCTATAATGACCACGGTAGCAATCTTAACCGCCACAGTTCTCTTCCTCCTTACCCTCCTTGAGATTGCAGTAGCCATAATCCAAGCCTACGTATTTGTTCTCCTACTAAGCCTCTACCTACAAGAAAACGTCTAATGGCCCACCAAGCACACGCATACCACATGGTTGACCCAAGTCCCTGGCCCCTAACAGGCGCAGTAGCTGCTCTCCTTATAACATCAGGCCTCGCAATCTGATTCCACTTTCACTCAACAACCTTAATAACACTAGGACTAATTCTTCTCCTACTCACAATATATCAATGATGACGAGACATTATCCGAGAAGGAACCTTCCAAGGACACCACACACCCCCAGTCCAAAAAGGACTACGATATGGAATAATTTTATTCATCACATCAGAAGTTTTCTTCTTCCTAGGATTCTTTTGAGCTTTCTACCACTCAAGTCTTGCCCCCACCCCAGAACTAGGAGGATGCTGACCTCCTACAGGAATCACCACCCTTGACCCGTTCGAAGTTCCCCTCTTAAACACCGCCGTCCTCCTAGCATCCGGCGTTACCGTGACCTGAGCTCACCATAGCCTAATGGAAGGAGAACGTAAACAAGCCATCCAAGCACTCACCCTAACCATCCTCCTAGGCTTCTACTTCACTGCCCTCCAAGCCATAGAATACTATGAAGCCCCCTTCACAATCGCTGACGGCGTATACGGCTCAACATTCTTCGTAGCCACGGGCTTCCACGGCCTACACGTCATTATTGGCTCAACATTCCTAGCTATCTGCCTTCTACGACAAATCCAATATCACTTTACCTCCGAACACCACTTCGGGTTCGAAGCAGCTGCCTGATACTGACACTTTGTAGACGTCGTTTGACTATTCCTGTACGTCTCCATCTACTGATGAGGTTCATAATCTTTCTAGTATTTAAAGTTAGTACAAGTGACTTCCAATCATTTAGTCTTGGTTAAAATCCAAGGAAAGATAATGAATTTAATTACAACAATTTTACTCATCACAACAGCCCTCTCAATACTACTAGCTCTAGTAGCATTCTGACTCCCACAAATAAACCCAGACGCAGAAAAACTTTCCCCCTATGAATGCGGATTCGACCCCCTTGGGTCTGCACGCCTACCATTCTCCCTACGATTCTTCCTCGTCGCCATCCTCTTCCTCCTATTTGACTTAGAAATTGCCCTACTCCTTCCACTACCCTGAGGCAACCAACTACCCACACCCACACTTACCTTCTTCTGAGCTGCAGCCATCCTTATCCTACTTACTCTAGGACTAATTTACGAGTGAATTCAAGGAGGCCTCGAGTGAGCAGAATAGGGAGTTAGTCCAAAACAAGACCTTTGATTTCGGCTCAAAAAATTGTGGTTTAAGTCCACAACCCCCTTATGACACCCGTACACTTCAGTTTTACCTCAGCATTTGTACTAGGACTTATGGGCCTAGCCTTCCACCGAACTCACCTCCTATCGGCCTTATTATGCCTAGAAGGGTTAATGCTATCACTATTCATTGCCCTAGCCCTATGAGCCCTCCAACTCGAGACAACGGCCTTCTCTACTGCCCCTATACTTCTTCTAGCCTTCTCGGCCTGCGAAGCCAGCGCAGGGTTGGCTCTAATGGTCGCCACAGCACGAACACACGGAACAGACCGACTCCAAAACCTCAACCTGCTACAATGCTAAAAATCCTACTACCAACAATCATGCTATTCCCAACAATCTGACTAACCTCTCCCAAATGACTATGAACTACTACAACCGCCCAAAGCCTCCTCATTGCCCTAATCAGCCTAAGCTGACTTAAATGAGACTCAGAAACAGGCTGAGCAACCTCCAATTTATATATAGGAACAGACCCCCTATCAACCCCCCTGTTAGTCCTCACCTGCTGGCTACTACCACTAATAATTCTCGCCAGCCAAAACCACATCACCCCCGAGCCCCTCGCCCGTCAACGAATATACATTACACTCCTAACCTCCTTACAAACCTTTCTCATTATAGCATTCGGAGCAACCGAAATCATTATATTCTACATCATATTTGAAGCCACCCTTATCCCAACCCTAATCATCATCACCCGATGAGGAAATCAAACTGAACGCCTCAACGCAGGCACATACTTCCTATTCTACACACTCGCAGGATCCCTCCCCCTACTAGTTGCCCTCCTCCTCCTTCAACAAAATACAGGTACACTCTCAATACTGACACTCCAATACTCCCAACCTCTAACCCTGCACACATGAGGCGATAAAATCTGATGAGCAGGCTGCTTAATTGCTTTCCTAGTAAAAATACCACTATATGGCGTGCACCTATGACTACCAAAAGCACACGTAGAGGCCCCCGTAGCCGGATCAATAGTCCTAGCTGCAATCTTACTAAAACTTGGAGGATATGGAATAATACGAATAATAGTAGTACTTGACCCACTCACCAAAGACATAGCATACCCCTTTATTATTTTGGCCCTATGAGGCATTATTATAACCGGCTCCATCTGTTTACGACAAACGGACCTAAAATCCTTAATCGCTTACTCTTCCGTCAGCCACATAGGCTTAGTAGCAGGAGGAATCCTAATTCAAACACCCTGAGGATTCACTGGAGCAATCATCCTAATAATCGCCCACGGCCTAGTGTCATCAGCCCTATTCTGCCTAGCCAACACCACATACGAACGGACCCACAGCCGAACAATGATCCTTGCCCGCGGCCTACAAATAATCTTTCCCCTAACAGCCACATGATGATTCATCGCTAACCTGGCTAACCTAGCTCTACCTCCCCTACCAAACCTAATAGGAGAGCTCTTCATCATCACAGCCATATTCAACTGATCTCCGTGAACACTAGCTTTAACCGGGACAGGCACCCTAATCACAGCTGCCTACTCACTCTACCTATTCCTAATAACCCAACGAGGCCCAACTCCCGCCCACATTATAGGCCTTCAACCATTTCATACCCGAGAACATTTACTAATGGCTCTTCACCTAATCCCTGTCATCCTCCTCATTGCAAAGCCAGAACTCATGTGAGGATGATGCAATTGTAGATATAGTTTAAGTAAAACACTAGATTGTGGTTCTAAAGATAGAGGTTAAAGTCCTCTTATCCACCGAGAGAGGCCTTGAGGCAATAGGAACTGCTAATCCCTACCGCCCGTGGTTAAAATCCGCGGCTCACTCGAGCTTCTAAAGGATAATAGTTCATCCATTGGTCTTAGGAACCAAAAACTCTTGGTGCAAATCCAAGTAGCAGCTATGTACACTGCACCCCTTATCCTTTCATCCTCCCTCATCCTAACCCTCGCCCTCCTGCTTTACCCCCTAATCATAACCCTAAACCCAAACCCCCAAAAACCAGAGTGAGCCACCACCCACGTCAAAACAGCCGTAAGCAGCGCATTCT